TTTTAAGCTCCAAGCCCTACCACCTCTGCTTTAATAAACTCATTAAGATGAACAGTATGGTGGGAGGCAAGTCATTAATTGAACCACTAGAAAGTCTATTTTTTTCTGCCAACTTTTGGTGGCATTTATAAAAAGCTGATGTAAAAGGCTCTGAGATATTGTTTTTAGTGATTCCACAGGCAAGCCTTTTTACAGAGCATACATCTCCAGTTGGCAACTCCAGACATTTCAAGCATCCAGTTCTGGTCACCAGTGCCTCCCCATGCCTAGTGCACAGTCCTGTACAGGCAGCCATCACCCCTCTCCTTGGAAGACGCCACTGTGCTGTTTGAAAACAAGCAGCCTTTTAGGGCTAGAGTATTTTATATAAACAGAAGAGCTAAGGTCCTGAAGACTAAGCTAGATAGATGCAGCTAAGTGTAAATCATATATTTTTATGAACTTTTGAAGCACACATTCCTGTTTCCCTCCACATAGCTTTGTGGGGATTTTGATGTAACTATGCCATCTGCAAGATTCCAGAGGTTGGAGTAACAGTAGGAAATGAAACAGCCTTTGAAAGTGAAGCTGGATAACTTCACCTTTTGGAGATAACTCTTCATGGTGACCACTGGACCCTCTAGTTACTTGCAAAAAGGGGGTTTTGTACTGTGTGGGAGATGCCCATTTAGAATTCCCAGTGCACAGGGAAAGAATTTTATTCTATCCCAGAATACCAGGAAAATCAGGTGCTCGCATCCCTGAAGGGGAATTGTACATGAGTTCTCTCTGGAAACTGATTTTGCTCTTTTCTGCATTGAACACACCTGGAGCTTTGTGAGACATGGATCCATGTGGATGAAAGTGACACAGTTCCAGAGTGAGGCCATGTCCGAGCAGATGGGTTTCCAGAAAGAGAGTAACTTCTGGGAACCCTGGTGACCTAGGTAGATAGTTGTGCTGCTGGGGAGCTGGCTGGAACCTCTGGAACCTTTTAGAAGAGTGGCTCCTAGGATTTCATCTCTGGTAGTATCACTAGGGATATTTGTGGAATGGACTGGGGCAGGAGACACATAGCTGCATGATCTCTCCTGACCATCATGTGTGGCCACGTACTCACCAGTTTAGGGACTGTAACCCTTCCCAAAACACTGGGCATTTGGAAGGAGCTGGGGAGAGCAATGGAATGGTGAGCCCTTTATAGATGAACTCCCATTTCTCCCTAGAGAATCCTGCTTTCAGACTCCCACCCAGAGGTCACTGCATCTAATAAGATTGTGTCTCCTGCACTTTCCTAAGAGCCAAAACCCCATTCTTTTAGGTTTGGTTGTTTCCTCCCCCATTAAGGGGGTCAGGGTGAATTCCCTAGAATTCTCTCCCTTAAACAGAGACTGGGGATAGGGTTGGTTCCCATAGAGAAGAGAGCCAGAGATATAACCAAACTGAATGCCACCCCCCAGAGTGATTTTAGGAATTGACTCTAAAACTCTGCAGAATCTTCACTTGTGTTGAGATTGTATCTTGACATTCCTATCATGTTATTTTTCTTAACTGGAGTGTGTGCTGCCTTTCAGGTAAAATTTTTGTGTAATAAAAGCCAGTACATTAAGTTTATATAGACTACTTTCTATGCAAGACTGAGATATGGAATAGATAGCAAGATGTGCAGACTCTTGGGTCCATGGTCAGGATGTCATCTTTTGGAAGAAGTCACCACCACCGAGCATGGGTTGAGGGAGGATAGATTGTGCATATGTTTCTTCCCACTAATTTTGAGCAGCCATATTATGAATTTAATCATCAGAGCCAAGTAATAACCCAAGAATGGTATTAGTTTCATGTGTAATAGCTCAAATGGAATAAGCATGAATGCTGAAGCGGAACATGATCCTCAGATATTCCATGTCACTTCTCATTTAAGGACTCTTGTAAAGAATTATTAGAAACTTTAGGCAAAGTCAAAAAGTATTTGCAGCAAAATAAAGGCCTATTCTGCTCTTATTTAAAGTGAAGCACTGTATACTCTTTCCTCTCCAAAGCAAAATTAGGTATTTATAATTTCAATTGCCTTGGTAAGTTTCCAAGTCACTGATTTCTGCTGAAGATTTTACTATATTGTTGCACAATTTTAAGATAATTTTTGTCTCAATGTCAACTTTTTTCACTGAATAAAATTTAACTGGGTCAAAAAACGCCTACTTGAAAATCCACTCTATGTGCGTCTGGAGTTGCTCTTTTGAGTGCAATAAAGATGACTAATGTGGTCTCCGAACACCATCGATTTGTTTGTCTCTTTTAAGAGGTGTGTATGTCATAGATGACAGAACACTAAGACCTAGAATCATTTTGGTATTAACCACCTGGTCTCAGATATTGGATCCTTGAAGAACACAGTGTCTTCATATTAGCTGGAGTAGGAAGATGTCATGTGGTTGCTCTATAGTAAGTGGAGTTCTTCTGTAGGGGTGGTAGCTCTCTTAGAGCTATAACTACATCTAAGAGACAATTTGCTAAGAGGGCAATTTTCAAATCTAAGAAAGCACAGCACTGTGGAAGAACTGGATACCTAGGAACACTCTTGGGGGTTTCCATAAACAATGAGGCCCTGTGCAAAAGAATGGCGAGCCAACCTCTAAGTCAAGATGGGAGCTGACTGGGTTGGGAGGGAAGGTTCTTCTGTTTTTGTTTTTAATTTTGACAACTCTGGCATGTTGCTTTTGTTCAGATATTGAGCCAAAACGAAATGCTGGTGTATTATTTAGTTTCATGGATGAGGGAAAAGAGGCTGAGAGAGGTTGAAGTCATTTACTGAGGGGAATCCAGAGTGCATGGCCAAGCCAGCCTTCAGTCCCAGGTATTTCTGACCCTACATCCTGTTCTGTGTTGCTTTGTCACACTAACCGCATGCCATCATTCAGTGTCAGAACAAACACATTCAGTCCAACATGTTGCAGACAAGGGAGACCTTCCGCCTGGGTGAATTGACCTGGTCACAGCCTTGCCTTAGGTTTTCCGGCTTTGATAACTTGTCATCTAATGCATGATAGTGCATTCATCTCATGACTGAATGCAGCTTAACTAGTCTCCTGAGTGACCTGCAGCATCATGGTGTACATGACTATTTCCTTAAGAATTCACCACAGGAAATAGTTCTGGCACTTAGAATGTCACATGACCAGTGCATCTTCCCCCTTTAGAAGGATTTACCTAAGAGGCCAGTCACAACTAGAAGGTGACCTAGTGACATGGATGAAGAATAAAGGAAGTGGGGGGGTCCTGAGCCAAAACAATTAGTGCCCAGTAAATAATGAGTGACTGACTGACTAGTACTCCACAACAGGAACCATCTACTCTACTTGGACTCTGTGTCTAAAACCCCTAGGTCACAGCTGTCTGTGTCCGTTGTTATTAAGGCCTTTCCAATTGGGGTCTAATACTTGGAATCCATTTGACATGGTTTCTCTGGACAGGGCTTGGATACCATCTAGATCTGCCACTCTAACTCATTTCTGTTGAGTTACTGAGCAAACTCCTCCCTCCCAATGAAAAACCTATAGCTAATATTCACGTCTTCACATT